GTTGGGGGTGAGGGATTGGGGTTGCGCTGTTGGTTGTTGGGAGTGCTGTAGTGTTAAAGCCAATAGGAGGTCTTTCCATATGAAAGGAAGGGTGGAGGGACGGGCTGAGGATGAGTCCTAGAGGATAGACCCGCTGTCAAACAGCAGGAGGCTGACAAAAGAGCCTTTCACTGCAGCCCCTCTATGATTACACGCACACACACATACACACATACAATCCATCCTGGACTCAGATCCAGTCGGGCTCATTCAGAGGCAGCCAGCATGTCCACAGAGAGGGGAATTCCTCTGTAGGTAAAGGACTGACACAGAGAGGGGTTAACAACAGACAACTTCCAACACAGAGGCTTCCCTCTAGTCTGTACTGAACTGTGTGCGTGTTTTCATCAAGAGTCCGGCCACAGAGGCCTCAAGGGACCTGAGGCCAACCCCTTAAGAGAGGCTCATTACTGTGACTGGAGTAGAAATCCTTATTTTCCTCTTCATTACGGGCAGAGCTGCTGTTTACCGTAGAGTAATGAAAAAAGCTCATGGACGACTATAAATAGAGCCAACGCGGCCCACAGAGCCAGGAGAGGATGTGGGTGTGTAATACTGTACTTACATGTGTTTGTATGTGTGTGTGTGACAGGTATGGGCAGCAGCATGGAGAAGCAGCAATAAAAGCCGGTCTCTGTTTCCTGTCTGTAACAGGCTAATGAGGGGATTTACAGGCCTTTTATTATGATTGCTCCAATTAGCCATAAAGCAGCACAGGAACAGTTTGTGTCTTTCTGTGGCAGAAACTTTCCTTTTTACCAAGTATACAGCTGTGTAAGACTACAAAATTACACTTTTACAAATACTCAGATAGGTCCATATATTTGGTAAAACTTTCATAGGTTGGCTGCTGTAATAAGTTTGATAAAGCAAAGTCTAACTGTTTAAAAAGATCGGTTTGCCCAATTGGCCTTAAACTTAATAACAAACAGGTTCATTTTTTTTCATTGATGGAGCTGTCCTTAAAAGATATCACATTCAAGCTTCACCCTTTAAGTACATCAGCTATACGAGAGGTACAGACTACGAAACTCAGGATACAACAAAAGTATGAGCACATATCTTTTCAAAATTACCTCTTGTGTAAGACATGTCATCTGGAGAAAAGCTGTCACTTTTTTACATCCTCATATGACCTCTCTGGGACTTTTCAAAGGAAAAGAAACTTGCCAATTTGCAGTGACCTTTACATTTTCCTGAGGACAGTTCTGATCCTGTGATCCAGTCAAACTCACCATGTCTTAGTACGGCTTAATGTTTTGAAGGAGTTATTGAATGCAGGTGCAGCTGAGGTTGATGGGGGTAAACATTTTGAAAGTAGTCACAGACTTAAGTAGTTGGGGGGATGGGGCTGGCTCTTTTCTACACAAAGCAAAGCAGTGTAGTTCAGCATTGTTAGTGCTTAATATCTTTAGCATCAAAATGTTCTGGACATTAACTGCTTTTTGTTGCTGCTATCACGGCTCAGCTCTCTATGAAAACACTAAAAATCATCAATGTCACTTCTTCATCACCCACTAATCAAAATCAAGAAGGGGTGGGACTTGATTTTGTATATATTTAGACGGAATTTAGACATTGTACTTTAACCCATTATTTGATAACTATTTACTTTAAAAAGCAACTGTGAGTTGCAGAACTGATCTCCAAGTACTTAACCGAGATAATTATGATAGCCGTTGAGCGACATACAGTTAGACCTCTGTTAGCTGGCTAGTCTAAACTTGGTCTAAATTTAGACGTTCAAAAAACTTTCATTTTTAGACCTGTGGTAGCCTGATTTAAGACCAGTCGTCTAGGCCACATTTAGACTTCTATTAGACCTCTTTTAGACCAAAAAGTGCTCAGTGGGGATATTGATTTTGTCAACAACAATGGTGTGGATCGGTACAGAGGAGAAACTCACCAAACTTAATGTCCAGCTGCTGTTACAACACAACTTGTATTGATTGTTATGTTTTCTTTGTAAAATCCCACAGCACATAAAACTAAATAAGCTGCATGACAATACATGTTCCTTTCCTTGCAGTCAGTAAAATCAAATCCAGAGAGAAAAAATACTTCAATTATCCATCTACACGTGACTAAAAAACCATTGACACAGTCAGACACAGCCCTGGATCCCTGCACATGTAGAGTTAACTTCAGTTCTCAGAAGAAGAAAACAACTTTATTGGAGTTTTACTGCCAAAACATTATATTGATCACTGAATGATTAATTCAACATGACTGTTGATTTCATGAGTATCAGTCAGCACTGATGCTCCGTGAGGGAGTTTGTCTGAGTGTGCGTGTGTTTATGTATGTGTGTGGGTGTGGGTGGGTAGTTGTGTGGGTGGTTGTGTGGGTGTGTGTACTGTGGTCGAGAGTGTGACTAAGGGGCAACATATGAGTCTGTGTTTGTGTGAGAGAGACTGAAGGGCGTGTTTAAAACCGTTGCATGTGATTGGTCAGTTTCCATGTCAGAGACTGTGCAGCCCCAGACCACAACACAATAAAATTAGCTGACATCAGTGTTGTTTTGAAACACAATATTTCGTCTTTTACAGTAAATGTTGGAGGGTTTTCTGCGGTGGTCCTTCAAGGCAAAGTTTGAAGACTCTCGCTGTTTTGGTTTGATTCTCAGAATATGATTAGACGATCAATACCACTCTGTTTGTGTGACTGATACCTACCATATGATTCTGTAAAGATTAAATAGACTGTATATAAGGAGCAGACACGGCCTGAGAGTTTGAAAGTAAAGCAAATACTTCATTGCTTTAAACCTGTTTTCTCTCTAATATCCAGCAGGGGGTAAAAAAAATGAGTCTGATTGGTAAGATGCCCAGAAGACAATCACTTAACGCTTGATTTCTTATCTTAATAAACACTTCATCATGAATTTATATTTTCAATCTCTGCTTTTAAATCTTCAGCACAACACAATGTTAACTTATACAGTAGTCTTATTCAAGGCCAAAGACCACAAAGCAGGAAGAGTTTGGGGCGGGGTTACCTGTGACTGACAAGTTGCGACAATGGCAACAAATTCACGCTGGTTTGTAAGCCACCTGTTATATATGAAGTTTCAGTCAGTAGAGCTTGCTGATCATTTCATAAACCTGGAATTCAATCAGAAAGCTCACACTGTTTGGAAGAAGCATCCAAATCCTGCTCTTCAAATGTAAGATGGATCATAGACAAGATAAGCAAGACCACACAGACTTTGTCATAATGGAAAACAATCTATGGATCTCTCAGCTTACTGTGTTTGTATTAAATTTGTCGATGGACTTGGGGTGTGAGTACCCTTTATGTTGCACCGAACTTTGAATAAATTTGCTAGCTACAATTGATTTTTAGACTGTCATCAAAGATAATATCTTGCTTGGGAGAAAAAACAGGTTAGGGAACACAATTAAATTTCAGGTAAATCATGCTATCCTATTGGTATGTGTTTTAAAACCAAAGACTGGGACTAAATGACCAAAGTAATGCTCTTCAAGCATACACATATCAAAATCACCTAATCTATTAACGTACTCTATAAGTTGAGCGTGAAAGGCAGATAAATTTAATATATACAGTGAATATCATTATTAGATACTCAGCTCTTTGGCTGGGATCATGCAAGAGTTTTCCACGTGCCTTTACCTTTGTTCTACGTTACCAAGGGACACAAAAGAAACATGTGCCATTAGACACACTGATGTAAACGGAGCATGCATTGTAGTTTCAGTCTGTTTGCTCAGTGTTCATGTTTGATCAGAGTTACAGTCAGCACTGACTGAGTCATGGAACAAACTGTGTTTTGGCTGCTGGGACATTAACGTGCCTCTGTTTCTGCGTCTACCATCACACAGCAGCAGTCTGATGATGATGCGTGCCTCTGAGGACTGCTACTCTAGGCTAACACACACACACGCACAGACACACACACACACACACAGACACACACACACAGAGCAGCCAGAATGATTAGTCACGGGGTCCTGTTCCCTCCCTGTGTTTATCAATTAACACTGAGAACGTGGGAACGGGAGGCAGAAAAAATCTGAGGGATTAACAGACAGACTGACAGCAGCACATGTTCCCCGACTCCTTCCTTTCTCTGCCCTCTGTTTCCTTTCTCTTTATCCTTCCCTCTCTCCATCTCTTTTCTTCCACCACCATCTCTCCATTCGTCCTTCAAGGAAATCTTTCTACAGTATTCCTGTCTTTGTTTTCTTTGTTAGACATCACAGAGTACTGCGGATCAGCTGCTGGCAAACAAAGTTGGTTTTTTCCAACTTCCCTGGCAGCTTTATTGTCACATAGTACAGAGTGGTAAAACCAGTGCACGTCAGTTTACAGTAGGTTATTTAACTATGAATGACATTCTGGTCCACACCAGAGTAAGCATCAGGAGACATGAGGAACATGGGCAATGTTTCTGCTGCATGTTGACACTGTTGCATTAAGCAGAACAGGGGTTGGCTCTGTAAAGTCAAGATGTGGTTTTTAAAGCATTTCAAAATAAATTTCACACTAGTGACTTTAAAAGAGGTAACTCAGATGACATCATTGCCTAATGAAAATAAAGACATGTTGATATAGGTTCATGGCCTTCAAATGAGGCTGAACTATCAGAAAAAATTCATTTGAAGCATAGCAGGAACCATCAAAGTCAGAGTCTACTGAACTAAAGCTGTGGATGAATTACTGAACCAGACTACTGCAGGTCCAACAGATCGGGGAGCCTGTATTTGGGAGCATCTGCTGCTGATAAAAGAAGTGCATTTTTTTTTTTAGCAAGTTAATAAAACACTTACAAAAAAAACACACAACTATAAAGAAAGATTACTGTATTCATTTGAAGATGCTGGCAACACAGAGTGTTTCATTTGTTGAAGTTAATTCAAACTTCCCCGAGTCCGTTGATGGAGACTGGAACAGAGGATTCACTGAGGCAAAAAGGTGTCTTCAACAAACCTTTTATTTCGGCACATCAAATAACACAAGATATCTTGGAGAGCACAACATCAACCCAATGGTATCTCTGAGGTGGTCTGATTACTATTTTTCAGTAGTTAATAGTTATACCCTAGGAGGCGTCTCATCATCTTTTTGGGCGGAGAGTTTACATAACCAGCAGTCCCCAGTGTTTCTCTATGGACAAACAAGCTCGTATTGTTCTATTTTTTTTTACCTGACCGAAACCGTGGTTTCAGGGCAGTTGACCTTGGATGCATCCAGCGCTTGTCTCCTTTTATCATATTTGCGTCATGTATTCCAAGCTTTCACTGAGTTCCCACTGGGCAGACTGCTGGGCATGCAAACCCCCCCTTTACACCTCCCCATCTTCTCAGGACAGAGTGATCTTCCTCCCTCGTCCTGTTGTTCACATCTCTGACTAGCACCTGCACATCTGTTTATGAAAGGCACATCATTATCTGAGGCATATGTCAGGGTCATAGAGCACTTTTATAAGGAACACTTTTAATAAATGACTGTTGTGATTATAATACACACTTCAAATAAATGACTGTTAAGGCATAACAGTTTATAACCATACTTACCAACCCTTGGCACTTCTAGGCATAAGCTAAAATCTAAATGACTGTTAAGGCAGAACAGTTTAAAACCATACTTACCAACCCTTGGCACTTCTAGGCATAAGCTAAAACCTTTCTTTACTGAGAGTCTCTGTTCTATACGTTGTGACACAGTGATCAATTGCCCCTGTGTTAGCTTTAAACTTTCTTATCTTACTCATCAGTACATGTCCGCAATGAGCACACAAAATAATGTAAACACAATAAAAAAACAGTTAATTACCTGAAACAATGATTAAATGATTGTCATCAATGATTAAATGATTAGCGTGAACATGTGATGGTTAAATGATTAGCATGAACCTGTGAGTTCCCACAAATTCCCCCTTTTGATCTCTTCAAAGAGATCACCTTCAATGAGCGCATCAACAGTGCCAGGAGTATAAATTTAACCGTCTGTACTTCCGCTATGACTAGGTAAACATTACTTTTGTTCGCATGCAGGGCGGCATCCAGGTCAGGGTCTATCTCACTAAGGGACAGGTTAGTATCAAGCTGTAGGCTGGGGGTTAGAGGAGGAGATGGAAAACAACCGTGAGTACTTTGATTGCCAGAGGGATACACATCAAATCTACAAACCCGACATTCAGAAGGAGTGGGAACCATGACCTTTAAGTAAGTGAAATTGACGGACACTACTGACACCCCCTTTTTGGCTGTCATTCCCCCCCGGGGCGTGTAAAATACATCATAGGGTACGGGACCTTCTGCTTGTCGCCAATTGTCGCCATCTCCGAGGGAGAGGCCAACTTGCACAGGGGTGTTTGGACCAGATTATTTGCAAGTAATGGTTAGGGCCGTAGCATTACCAGAGATTGATGGACGGGCCGAATAAGCATCCTAACTGCGAATGGGACGTGAGAGGTATGTTGCATCGTGTTTTGTGGCGTTTGTAGGCAACTGTGGGAACTCCCTAGTCAGCCCTAAAATTATAAGCAGCAAACCTATGTTAAATAAGACTAAAGCAATCAACCATGGCCATGAGCCAAATTTAGGACGAGGGATCCTCATTTCGTTTCTGCAAAACTCAACCCACAAAAGAACGTCGAGCAATACAATGTAAGTTAATAACCAGATAAATGCCGAAATAAAAGGGTGTGGAACATACAGTGTGGAACATACAGGTAAAAAATCTTCTCGTCTTGTACGACCTGACAGATGATCCGTCCGTGGAGGTCGCCCGGACAGGCAGCGTAGCGTCGTTGTCTACTGGAGCAGGTGTCAGCCGACGTCCTGCGGGATGTTGTCGTCTTTCTTCAGGCGGTCAGGGGTAGACTACCCTGTGCCCTTTACGTTGCAGGGATTATTCTGCCCTGTGTCTTTGCAGCGTAGCTTCGTTGTCTACTAGAGCAGTTGTCAGCCGACGTCCTGCAGGATGTTGTCTCCTTTCTTCAGGCGGTCAGGGGTAGACTACCCTGTGCCTTTTTCGTTGCAGGGATTATTCTGCCCTGTGTCTTTTCTGGAGGTGTGTGGCTCTTTGGTTTGGTTTCCTGCTGCAGCTGCTGCAAGATCCTGCCGCACTTCCTTCAGGGAGCGTTGAGGTGTTACAGCTGGGGCGCACTGAGTGAGGTGGAACCAGGTGTCTCCTTTCCCGTCCAGCCGGACTGCGTGGGAGGTTCTCTCGGTCACCTGAAATGGTCCTGTCCACCTAGGCTCGCTCCACTTTCTCTTGATGACCCGAAGGAGGACCCAGTCAGTGATGGGTAGGTCACCGTCTTTGGTGCCGTCTTTGCTGTCTCGCACCTGCTTAGCAAATTCAGAGAGAACAGATTGCAGTTGTACATAATAATCTTTCTGGTGCATGTGAGAGGGAGGAGGGTCAGTGTTTTGCAGGGCTCGCTCTGGCCCTGGAAAAGGTCGACCACGTTCGAGCTCGAATGGGGTGTGTCCAGTTGTCCTGTTTACTGAGGATCGGATGGACATGAGGGCGAGCGGTAGAGCATCCACCCAGTTCAGCCCTGTGTGGGCACAAATCTTTGACAGCCTGTTCTTGACTGTCTGGTTCATCCTCTCAACCTTACCCTGAGATTGAGGATGGTACACGGACCCAAAACCATGTTTAAGTCCCAACATGGCCTCCACGTACTGGAGGTCCTGGTTCTTGAAGTGTGACCCATTATCCGACCTGATCTTTTCTGGGAAGCCATGCTGTGGGATGTAATGGTTGATGAGACACTTAACTACTGATTTGCTGTCCTCTCTTTTCACTGGCCATGCTTCTGGCCATCCTGTAAATGCATCAACACACATCAAAACATACCTGTACCCTCGGACTGAGTTAACCATATCTGTAAAATCAATGATGATTTCTTTCCCTGGACGTGTCTTTAGTTGGAACTTACCCACCCCGGGTTTGTATGTAGGTCTGGTGTTGTGGTGTGTGCAAACAGTGCAGTGTCTTACCCACTCCTTTAGCATGTCATGTAGGAAGGGGTGCCACCATTCTTTGAGGTCCACTTTCATCTGGGAGATGCCTGCATGGCCAACTCCATGTGCTTCTGAGAAGATACTGTCTTTGAGCCCAGGTGGCAGAACCAACCTTCCATCTGGGGATCTCCAGGTCCCTTCCGATAGGACTGCGCCTCTGAGTTTCCACACTGTCTTCTCTTCAGGTGAGGCTAGGTCCTGTTCTTTTGAGATTTCTGTAAGGGACAGTTTTGTCATTTGTGTCTCTGTGTCTGGTCTTACCAACAGGAGCTTCTCATGATATCCTGCGGCTGCTTTGGCTGCGGAGTCCGCTGCTTGGTTGCCCATGGCAACTCTGGATCCGCTGTTGTCGTGTCCTTTGCATTTGATGATGGCTACCTTCTGGGGAAACCACAGTGCTTTTGCAAGCTCTTTCATTTCATCCATGTGTTTAATGGGTTCTTGTTTTGCAGTTAGGTAGCCCGCTCTCATCCATTGTCCTAGGTCTACTTGTGCTGCGTGTACTGCATAGGCTGAGTCAGTGTAAATGTTAATGTCTTGGTCTTTACCTGCTTTCAGGGCTTCAATCACTGCCACGACTTCTGCTCTCTGGGCTGACTGTGGTCCATTGAGCTTTTGTGCTGTTACCGTCTTGAGTCCGTCTGGTGTTTCTTCTATCACAGAGAATCCTGCTCTGAGTCCCTCCTTCTCATCTCTGTAGCAGCATCCGTCTGTGTATAGGTTTCTGGCCCCTGGGATGGGTTCCGTCTGGAGGTCTTCTCTGGCTTTTTCTTCTTTTTCAACCCTGTGGGCACACTCATGCAACACACCTTCCCCCAAACGCTCAGCCATGTTAACACCTTCATGAGTGAATAGCAAGTTTGGGGCTTCGAGAATGCGAGCGAGTTTTTGCTGTCTTGTGGAGGACATCGTAAAAGTTTGCGAGTTCACATAAGCTACAACGCTGTGTGATGTCAAGATGTGAAGTGTGTGTCCCATAACTATGTGTGCGCTTTTGTTGATGAGTTTGGCAACACCTGCAGCATGTCTTGTGCACGTTGGTTGACGTTTTTCTGTGGGGTCAAGGATGACACTGAGATACATCAGTACCGTTCTCTCTCCCCCTTTTTTCTGGAACAGAATACCGTTAGCAACAGATTCTGTTTCAGAAACATCCAAAAAGAACGGGCGCGCGTAGTCGGGGAGGGCCAATTCGGCGGACGCAGCGAGTTCTTGTTTGAGTTTGATAAAAGCTTCTTCCGAGTTGCGGGACCATGTCAGCTTCGCATTCAGATTTCTCATACCTGCAGAGGTGACCATGGCTCTCAGCGGAGATGTGAGAGTGGAAAAATCAGGTATGTACTGCCTGCTGTAACCCACCAGACCGAGAAACGACAGCATAGCTTTGACAGTGTCAGGCTTGGTGTGGTGCAGAATGGATGTGCGGTGGGCGGGGGACAATGAGGCCCCCTTTTGTGACAGTAGTCTGCCGAGGAAAGAAACTTGTTTCCGCGCGATTTGCAACTTAGGTTGACTGACCTTGAACCCGTGGCGGGCCAGGAGTAGGAGCAGGGCCCGTGTGGCCTGCAGGCAGGACTCGGCTGTGGTGGACGCAATGAGCAGGTCGTCGACATATTGAATCACTGTGGTGCCATCGGGCAGCTGCAGGTCAGCCAAACTCTCTTTCAGAACCTGGTTAAAGATGCCAGGGGAGAGGGCGAATCCCTGTGGGAGGCGGGTGTAACGGAGTCTGCGACGCTGGTAGGTGAACGAGAAGATGTCCCGAACGTTCTCATGTAAAGGGAGACAGAAAAAAGCGTTAGCAAGATCAATACATGTGAACCATGCTTGTTCGGGAGACAGATTGTTCAGAGCAACATATGGGTTTGGCACCGGGACCGTATTGGTCCCTAGAATCTGATTGATGGCTCTGAGGTCATGGGCCATACGGTACTGACCGGTGCCCTTCTTTTCAATTGGTAGAATGGGTGTGTTCCAGCAGGAGTTGGAGGGTTCGAGGACACCAGAGTCTAACAGGCCTTCTATGGTGTCCTGAATGCCCAATTCTGCCTCTCTTTTGTGAGGGTACTGTGGCACCCAGACCGGAGAGTCAGTATTCAGCTGGAATGAGATTTACAGTGGATCAATCCGACATCGGTTGGACCCTCGGCCCACAATGGGACTGGGAGGGAGGAGATAAGCTCCTGTGCTTTTGGATGATCAGATTTTTCTCTACCATGGTCTCTAGGTATGAGTTCATGTGTGCATAAAGCAGAGTCAGTGGTAGTACTCACAATTCTGAACATTTTCAGGGACGGAGAGCGGAGCACGCCAGGCAGGCCGGAGGAAGACCAGTCTGAGGCTAAGACTGCTGCTTTGACCATGGGGCCCAATTCGCGAGCCTCATGTCCCGGATGGAGAGCCAGCGAAATGTGGGGGAAAGCAGTCTCAGACATATTATACCAGGACTGTTGCTCTCTTGTGAGATTAACCATTGCCCTGTTGTCCCACCAAAATGTCACCAGAATGTAGCTGCCAGGTCTTACCTTCTAGCTGATTTTGGAATTCCTCTAGGTAACATTCATTACCCTCCCGGTCGTAGAACAGAGTCAGATGGAGCGGGTCAGGTGGAGCCATGTAGGGGTGGACGCTGAGGATCCAGGGTTTCCAATGGAGATAACATGAGTAGAGCCCATTTGTGATGGCTCCAACAGGGCCCAGAAAATGTCTGCAAATCTAGGTTCAGTGTCTCTGAGGAGGTACTGGTGTGTGTCCCCAATCCCTTGTGCACATAGAACTTCAGTCCCATCCGGGAACGTGACAGTGAGGCCCTGCTGACCGCAGAGGATCTGTGCATTGAGTCTCGAGAGTAGGTCCTTACCCAGGAGATTGACTGGAACACTGGGAGACACTAGATAGGGGTGTTGTAATTTCTGTCCCGCTACGTGTGTGGGGAGGGGGATGGTAAATGACAGAATCTGACTTACCCCAGAGAAACCCACCACGCTCATCGTCCGTCCAGACAGAGGCCCAATGTCCTGATTAACCGTAGATCTGGTAGCCCCTGTGTCAACGAGAAAGGGCAGAGCGTGGTCCCGGACCGTCATGGACAGCATGGGCTCTGCCGTTACCCCGCTGTCCGAGTCGCTCTGTGGGGCGTGTCATTGAGGATACTGGTAGGCGTCCTGAGCCTCCCAGGTCTGGTCCCAGGCAGTGACTGCGACTGGAAACTGGTGGGCCTGCTGCTGCTGCTGTTGCTGCTGCTGCTGCCGTGGGGGTGGTCCTCCCTGTCTCAGCGGAGGTGGTCCACGGGCCATGCCACGCATCGGGTAGCTGTGTTGCTGCGGAGGGTTTGGTGGATAGTTCGGACATTCACGCCACCAGTGTCCATTCATGCCGCAGGAGTGGCAGGCGTTGTTGCGTGTAGGTGCTGTTTGTGCCTGATTCCAGTAACCGCCCTGGCGGGGAGGGCCGTTGTTACGAAATCTCCTGCTGCCCTGGAAACCTCCTCCCCTGTAGGGTCCACCAGACCTCGCTCCACGTCCTCTGCCCCACGAACCCTGAGATTGATCTGTGGGAGGAGAATAGGGAGAACAATCTGCCCGCTGGGGCACTGGGTACATGTCAGGTGAAATCTGTGGGTCGTTAGAGGCAGCGGCAATCATAATTTTATCTGTATTACGATCTTTCTTACCCTCAGTGATATTTCTCCGAGCCTGGGTGAGCTGCAGCTTCATAAGTTGTCTCTGCATGTCTTTGTCATCATCACCTTCTTTGTCAGCTCTGTCTTTCGCTCTCTGTAGGTGGTGTTTGAGATGTCGTTCCCACACCAGGCAGGTTGAGCCCGGAAGGTCTGGGCTGTTTTCCAAGTGTTCTCTAACGTCTGCTGGAACACCTTTAATTACAGCATCTCTAAACCAATGTTCCTGGCCCTTACTGGGGTGAACCCCTGTGTATTTGGACCATTGTTCCTTGCACTGGGCTAGATACTCGCTAGGAGAGAGACTTTTTCCCATGAGAACTTGGGGATCATTGGACCGTTGGGAAGCGGGTATTTGGAACGGAGCTCGTTACGCAGAGCCCTAATTACTGTGACTAGCTGCCTGTCATCATTGCAGGAAATGGTGCCTGCACAGGTTTCGATGTCCCTGAGTTCGGTAGGGGTGACACAGAGCGCGAGAATAGCCCTGAAATCGCCGAGGGCTAGATCTTGGCCTTTAGTCAGGCAGTCCAATTTGTCCAGCCATAAGTTGCCTCCCTCAGAGATGGGGGGCAGCTTATCACTGATGGTTTGTGTATCGCTAACAGCGAATGGTTTATAGATTTTGTGTCCACCACTGGATTCAACCAGAGGGAAAGCGGAGGAGCTGTGGTGTGCTGTAGCTGCGTCTGGATATGCTGGAGGTAACATGGCTTTTGAGCGTGTGAAGTGATGGTGGCTGAGAGGTGCACTCACCCTTTTTTCGTTCGTCATACGCTGCTGTTCCTCCAGGGTGGCAGTGGGTCGGGCCATGGCTTCACTGGCGTCCGTGTTATCCGTATAGTTGACGGTGGAGCCTCTGGTGGTCCTCTGCATCTCATCTCTCATGGTGCTGAGCATTTCGTCTCTCACTTCCTGTCTGAGTTCCTCCTCCACTCTGCTGCGCATGAGCTCTGCACCTGTAACATCTAGGGTGTCTTGCAGTATTTTATTGAGAGTGCTCATGGTAGGATTGGGGTCATATGTACCTCTTACCGTGAGTTGGGCTGTGCAGGGCAAACTCTGTGAACTCTGTGAGCCTCTGTTCGGGGACGGTATCACCGTCTTAACCTGTCCCCTGGGGGTGGATCTCTGCTGTGGCTCAGGAGCGGGCAGTGAATCTGGTGTGGGCAAAGATTTAAATTGTAATTCTTTTTTAAACTCACTCAAAAAGCGGGCCTGACGGTCTCCGAATGGTGCATCCAGCTGGTCCTCCTCTTCCTCCTCCTCGCTGTCCTCGGCTTCAGAGTCGCTGTCTTCACCCATGTCTCTGTAGGTATTGTTGCCTTCTCTGTCCTCGTAGTCTGAGAGGTCGATGGTGGTGGTACCAGAAGTCCTAGAGGCCATGGATGGTGCCTTGTGTCTAGGAATGTGAGAAGTCAGGGAGGGGTCCGGCTGTTGAGGCATCATGGTGGGGGGTATGTCAATCTTCAGATGTCCTTCATTGATGTTGATCACTGGGTAGAGAGAAGTGCTCACAAAAGGATTAGTGGGTGAGAGTTTTTTTCTGTGAAAACCAGACTGAGCGGAGTGGTAAGGTGGGGGTCGAGGCGGAGCTTTGGGAGGCGGAGCTGTGGGAGGCGGAGCTGAGGGGTGGAGACCTGAGAAAGGATTCGTTCGTTCAGCGGTGGGAGGAGGCAGGATAGAGGGAGGGGTAGCTGGTGGAGGCGGAGCTGGGGTGGCACCCTTTGTGTTGGTGGGTGTGTCCTTCTGTGTCTTACTGTGTGTGTGTGCTGATTTGAATAATCTCATGTCTGTATTTGGGGTGGGGGTAATCCCTGTCAAACCTTTCTCAGCTGCCTTTTTTACATTAGTAAGATGCTCTGTCCCTCTGTGGGCTACTCCCAACGTCTGCCACCTAGCAAGTCTTCTAAAATGCTTTTTTACGGCCTGTTTATATTTTCTGCGGAGCAAAATGCTGCCTAGCGCTGCTTTCTTCCTTGCTGCATCTCCTTTTGCTAGCTCTTCTTTCCCACGTGCCCAGATGAGATCTCCTAGTGAGGATCTTTCATTTTCTCTCCCTTCGATAAGCTCTTGCAGCATATCAGCATACTTTTCCCTCCCTTTCGCTGTCACCACAACTCCATCTTCTTTCCCTATGCCCTTTAAGATCCACTCTGCCTGTAGAGATAACGGCCCCACCCATCATCATCTACCTCACGATCAAATTCACCATCCATCCCAACAACAGCAACGTCTCTTTAATGGCCGGCTGGTTTGTATGACACTTCCGTTTCGGGCAACCAGCCTTATTGGAGGCCTTCACAAAGCCGGTCAGTTTGTATGACACGTTCGTTCCGAGCAACTGACCCTTTCAGTGCAGTACTGAGACACTTTGTGTGAGGTTTTCTCCAAGACACCACTTTGAGACAAGTTCAATTTTCAGCATATATGTGGTCATAACAGTCACAATTCACGCACAGGCTTCAATAATGTCACACAGCAGAGAGAAAGTTATTCTCCACTGAACTTTTTCTGTACGGCACAGCTCCTCGCACTAAATTCAACAATATCACACAGCAAAGACAAAGTCAGTCTGTACTGACTTTTTGTGCGGCACAGCTCCTCGCTCGCACTAAATTCAACAATATCACACAGCAAAGACAAAGTCAGTCTGTACTGACTTTTTGTGCGGCACAGCTCCTCGCACTAATTTTAACAATCACGCAGCAGAGAGAAACTCAGTCTCCACTGAATCTTTCTGTGCGGCATATCACCTCGCACAGAATTCAACAATAACACAGCAGAGAGAGACTCAGTCTCTACTGAATTTTTCTGTGCGGCATATCACCTCGCACAGAATTCAACAATCACACAGCAGAGAGAAACTCAGTCTCTACTGAATTTTTCTGTGCGGCATATCACCTCGCACAGAATTCAACAATAACACAGCAGAGAGAAACTCAGTCTCTACTGAATTTTTCTGTGCGGCATATCACCTCGCACAGAATTCAACAATAACACAGCAGAGAGAAACTCAGTCTCCACTGAATTTTTCTGTGCGGCATATCACCTCGCACAGAATTCAACAATATCACACACTTCTTTTCGGGGGGCTCCAAGTCCCCGGGGTTTGCAACCCAGCTCAACTAGCGCCCCGTCGAGCCACTAGGGGGGTCCGCCACAACCCAGAGCGGTGGTCCTTATGACTCTTTACGCGGCCTTCACACAGGCTTCTCTTAAGTTTAACTTTTCATTTCACACATAGTTACTCTCTTTGTCAGAACACAGAATATCACAAGATGTACCAGTACAATATCATGAGCCTCGTAATAAATTTAGGATTCAGTATATACAGAGTTCAAGAGATCTTTGATTTAGAGTAACACAAATGGGCAGAAATTCTGTTAAAAAGGTTTTCTGCTTACCTTATTTTGTGGTCGACCAGATCTCTTTTCCTCTGATGCACTGAACAGTTTTCTCCAATTCAAAAGCTCTGTCAGAACTCCATCCCGGACGAGCCCCCAAAATTGTTGAAGTTAATTCAAACTTCCCCGAGTCCGTTGATGGAGACTGGAACAGAGGATTCACTGAGGCAAAAAGGTGTCTTCAACAAACCTTTTATTTCGGCACATCAAATAACACAAGATATCTTGGAGAGCACAACATCAACCCAATGGTATCTCTGAGGTGGTCTGATTACTATTTTTCAGTAGTTAATAGTTATACCCTAGGAGGCGTCTCATCATCTTTTTGGGCGGAGAGTTTACATAACCAGCAGTCCCCAGTGTTTCTCTATGGACAAACAAGCTCGTATTGTTCTATTTTTTTTTACCTGACCGAAACCGTGGTTTCAGGGCAGTTGACCTTGGATGCATCCAGCGCTTGTCTCCTTTTATCATATTTGCGTCATGTATTCCAAGCTTTCACTGAGTTCCCACTGGGCAGACTGCTGGGCATGCAAACCCCCCTTTACACCTCCCCATCTTCTCAGGACAGAGTGATCTTCCTCCCTCGTCCTGTTGTTCACATCTCTGACTAGCACCTGCACATCTGTTTATGAAAGGCACATCATTATCTGAGGCATATGTCAGGGTCATAGAGCACTTTTATAAGGAACACTTTTAATAAATGACTGTTGTGATTATAATACACACTTCAAATAAATGACTGTTAAGGCATAACAGTTTATAACCATACTTACCAACCCTTGGCACTTCTAGGCATAAGCTAAAATCTAAATGACTGTTAAGGCAGAACAGTTTAAAACCATACTTACCAACCCTTGGCACTTCTAGGCATAAGCTAAAACCTTTCTTTACTGAGAGTCTCTGTTCTATACGTTGTGACACAGTGATCAATTGCCCCTGTGTTAGCTTTAAACTTTCTTATCTTACTCATCAGTACATGTCCGCAATGAGCACACAAAATAATGTAAACACAATAAAAAAACAGTTAATTACCTGAAACAATGATTAAATGATTGTCATCAATGATTAAATGATTAGCGTGAACATGTGATGGTTAAATGATTAGCATGAACCTGTGAGTTCCCACACATTCTGATACATTTAACTTCCTGTCCTGTTCGGTCAACCCTGTGCTGGTCGATGAAAAAGCACACACATTTGGTATGTTTATGTATTGTTCAATAAATAAATAAATAAAAAGCATTAAACACATTAGTTCAACTGGAATTGCATAAATTGAACATCTCATAGTCTGAGTAACACACCTGAATAATGCAGTTTGGGGTCAATATTCTCTGTCATGTATAAATCAGACTGAAGCTGGAGGGTTCTGCATATGCTCCAGTCTTCACATGCCGGGCTTTGAGCAAGAAGCTGAATTGCACAAATGTGTTGCTAGGAGGCTGAGTAGTAAACAAAACCTCAACAGATGCAGAAAGGATGTAAAAAAAGATAAAACTTTCCCACAAACCAACAGTACAGAGCTGCAAAAGCAAAGATGTTTTCATTGTTTGATGTACATCCCATTAGCCAGGAGACAACCTGATGGTAACAAGCTGAGAGGAAGCCTGTTGTCACTTACCGTAGAGGAGGCAGACATGCTTCTGTCAATAATTAGATTCTTGCCTGGTGCATATAAAATGGGATAAGGACAGTAGTCCAGTTAAATCACCTTAAACCAGCTATAACTTAACTGTGCATGTAAACATAGCCTACGAAAAACTAGAGAGAGAGAGCTGTTGACTCAAACTGAGAAGATTGGAGTAGATGGTTGCCATGTCGAAACAGACTTCCACATGATACTGGGCAGTTTTTGTTTAGCACCATGCCCTGATATTTTTCTGCTCAGTAAGACCAGATAAGATCAGAATCAGCAAATCAGTCACTTGATGTGCAGGTTACAGAGCAAAGAACTGATGTAAAAGTCTGTAATCAGTTTAACAACACTGATTCTTTTCTATGCTCTTGTCTACTTAAGCTGATAACTTACAAACCAGACAGCCCAACCAGAGAAAACAGGTTCATGGATAACAGATGAAAACATGTCTGTGCGTCACACAGGCTCAGTTTGTGGGAAAAGAGTATATAGGCTTGTGTGAACATCATTGTTGTCTCTGGTCAGCCATCTTGGATCTGCAGGCCCCACACAGAGCCAGCTGTTTCCTCAAGCCCGACTAAGCTCTTGGTATTGGGGCCAATTTGACCCATGAAGAGACGATAGGGAGCAAGCAGGGGAGCCGGGCTTAGATCAGCGGAGCGGACCACAGACTAACAGTGAGAGCAGAGGCCAGAGGAAATTATCTCCCACTAAGCCACAAATCTCTTCCCTTTCTTTTCTCTGGTCCATTTTTTTCTTCTCTGTTCTTTCTTCCCCCTCTCCTCCCCCCCTTTTTCTTTTGTTTTTATTTATACCTTTGTTTTCTGTTCTTTTTCACATCTTTGTTAGTATGTTGGGATGCTTTTCAGATCTCTTAATTATGAATAGCGAATATTTTGCACTTGCAGCTATTTGCTCTCCAGCTAATTGGATCACCTCAGTTTTATCCCCATACACTGCTGCAGTTAGTTTTTGTGCTCTCTGCTCTTCTCTTTCTATCTTCTCTCTCATCATCTCTGTTTCACCAGGAGTATTTGGCGAGTCTTGTAGTGTCCAGCAGACGTGTTGGTTGGAGGGTGACGGAGGCTGGGGGCCTGTTGTCCTGGTTGCTGGTGTCAGGGAGATGGAGGTTCATGCATACTGATGCTGTTTGAACTTCTCCTAAAGTGATTATTTATGCACAGCCAGACCCGCTCAGCTGAGCCAGGATTAACTTCATGAAAATGCAAAAGGGCATGGAGGAAGGTGCGCGCGCGCACACACACACACACACACACACACACACACACACACACACACACACAGTGGCGTGCACTCATGGCCCAGTGCCCAGCCTCAGCGGTCTGAGGACAGAGCTCTAAACCCCTGTGGAGCCTTCACACTAACATCTCCATGGAGATGCTAAAGAGATTAGCACACTATGCCCCTGTGTGTACATGTGAGTGTGTGTTTGTGCGCACAGGTCTCTATGTTAGCTTAAACTTTAACCAAATTATTTTTTCTGCAATCAATCAACAGGTTGTTTTTAAATGAAGGAGAAGACAGAGACTGAAATAATGTTTTTGTCCTGAAACAATGTCTCACATGTCTGACCTTTCATCCATCAATCTTATTCATCTGTTTGTTTTCTAAGCCTGTCTGTCTAAGAAGCCACAGTTGAGTATTTGCGTGGGTTTGATACTCAGATTGGAACCATCTTAAAATGTGCACATCTATTTCCATGGAAAGGTGCACCAAGGAGTGAGAGAGTCAAAACGTGCAAAACACCTGCACTTAAGGCTAACCATAACGATATATATCCAAAATTAATTTCCCTCGATATCAATTTAAAGCATGGTCAATATCTTTTTTGATAGCCGGCATTCTGCCATGTTTTGGTAGACTATGCGAATAGCCAAAGAAAAGGCTAGTTCCTTTGGTCTGCTTTGCGCTGAACCAATCATGTGCTGAATTAGAACCAAGAAGCAAACAACTGCATAGTAGCAGGCTGCAGCTACACGCAACTATAGCACTTAAACACATGAAGCCTGTCGGTGAGAAAGAAAGAAAATGAGTGTTACCCCCCGCAGAAATGCAGATGAAGCTCAACAGATGATGAAAATGTTGGTGGTGTTGAGGTATTTTGTTTTTTTGAGGTCGGACATGAAGCAGAGTAATGTGCACTGCAAATTATGTTGAGTACATGTTCTAGCAAAGTTGGGAAATATCTAAAACCTTTTTCACCACCTGAAGCAGTGCATCACGTGGCATCTCACAGATGCAGTAGACCTCACAGATGCAGTAGCTTATTGTATTGCAAAAGACATGCTACCAATAAGTAGTTAAATTTCATTTTTTTTATATTGCGATATTGACTGACATGAAAAAAATGTCAAAAAAATGAAAAAAAAATATTGTGATAAACTTTTTCTCATATCGCCAAGCTCTACCTGCACTCTAACTTCCAAAAAGTGCATTTACTATCGGGTTTGCCTGATTCCCAATATTAAACTCGGTCAATAGAAAGAAATGATACTTTTGATTTACAGCTCAGTCAAAGTTTCTACTTTTACAAAGCTTATTCTGGGTATTTCTTAACTTACAGATTCTGATCAAAGTTTTCAGCAGTTAAAAATAAGTTTTCCTTATGTTTGTTTGGGGGCTCTATTTTTTTAAACATGTTGAGGAGCTTTGACATGACAAGGGAGCTTCAGGTAAAACTGATTTTTGTGTGTGTGTAAAACAGAGCCATCTGATACCTCTTGATTTTGTCTAGGCATGCATAATTGGAGGAGACCCCAGAGCAGTTCAGGAACATGGCGGCCTGAGGACGCCAGGATCAGATAAGGTTGATGGTGCAGGCAGAGAGGTGAACATCCAGGCTACCTCCTCTATGCTCAGTTTTGAAACTCTAACATGCCACTCAATAAACCAAGGCCTTTTCACATTTAACGCCTCATTTTCTATGTTCTAATGAAAAAAAAAAGATGCACTGGAACACAATAAATCAGTAAGAAGTCAGAGTTTTCAGTGTTAATTTTGACAGCTATTTTAGATTTAGTCTTTGGACTAAAAATCCCATTAGTTTAAGTAACATTTAGGTATTCTTTGCTCTTAGTTAACTGCACTCAGCTGCATCTTCATCATGAATGATTTAGAGTTAATCATTGTTGTGAAACATCCTATTAAATTTGCAAACTAACGTCTCCAAACTAGATTAAAACTAGCTTTTGACACAGAGCTGATAACAGTAAGAGAAGAGGAAAAACATCAAAAATCAAATTGACATTGCCCTGGTAGCTGGTCAAAGTTTTGATTAATATGCAGTTGAAAAAAAAGTTTATGAAAATAAGAGAGAATTAATTTTAAATGTTAAAAAATTTAAAAAGGATTAATTTTAAATGTCCAACATTAATTTTAAAAACGATTAGGTCTCATTATTATCAAAAATAAATTAACACAAATAAAACTGTTTTGTATTTTAGTTGTGATGTATTGTAGTACGTCAGTGGCTAACCTTTGTCATGAATTAAGGGTCACTGACAAAGATTTATCATCATAATTTTACTGTACAAAATTAATGCTCTTCAAGAGCTACCCTGTAATCTGCAGATTTTTAGTTATTGTGGTTGCAGAAAGTATCTTTGTCTGAGGTACTGTATGTCTTAATGAAACACTAGTGTCATTTGCACCAAAATACTGGCTTTAAGACACCAACGGCAGCCAGTCATCCTCCAACTAAATGACTCAGACTGATTGAGGAAGTTAAACACTTTATCGAATAATCAAATCTGTTACACAGCTAAAAATATACAGAAGTTTAAAACTTGTGAGTCAGAACTAAACAAGACTTGGAGTAATCACTCTGCTCAGCAGGTCTGGATGTCCACCAAGAAACTCTGACAGCAGTACGAGACCAGCTCAACTTAAATGGTGTTTCCTGCAGAGGACAAATACTTCTGATTTAACAAGCTGGACAGAGTTGTCTGAATCAGTAGATGGAAGATGTTGCTTTCCTCAGAAGCGGCTTTTCTGCTGATGGTTAATGGTTTGGGATGTCAGTGATGTTAGCTCATTGCTATTATTATGCTAGATAGAAATTGTATTGCAGCTGTATTACTGCATCTGTTACTGGCCTACCAACACTGGTGTGATGAGAAGAGCAGCTGTTTCCTCTGGTTGACAGGCTGACTGTGTTGTCACCATAGACTGTATATACTATGGACAACTTTGTTCCACCTTCCACCAGTATACAGATTTGAAGCCTAAAAGCTCTCGGTATTTCAGTGATTTTGTCCACATCCTGAAACCAACATTGTGCTGTAGCGTTGTACGTATTTAGCAGGAGAGTCGCCAAGAGTTGCTGTGATGACGCTCCGCTAAAACAGTGTATCTCCCGGGTGAGCTACGCAATCTTTGAACGCCAATAGGCTGTATCAATCAATCATAGAAAACATGAACCCCCTAATAACTTTTAAAAATGGAGCTGTACAGAAAAAAGAGGACTTGAGCACAAACCAGTCTTACAATAACTACATGTCAACATTGCAACCAGGGGGGAGAAAAATTTACATTCTGTATAATAAATTTCCAAAGTTTGTCCACAACTCCATAAGCTTTGTTGGAGGAGGCGGGATTTATGACCTATACTGCAGCCCGTCACCAGAGGGTGCTGTTTTGGGGTGGCTTCACCCAGCGAGGAGGCAGACAGCGGCCATTCTATAAACAGTCTATGGTTGTCACTCAAACTGACTGCACCAGGGTTCGATTAGAAGCAAAACAAGACCATCTCTTCTCAGTGATCCTGGCTCGCTTGTTTTGTTCTGCTCAGAGTGTGTTTGCTGTGTTCATAGTATGTCCAAAAAGTCTGATCCAACGGGTCGTCTCCAAACAATCCAAGTGTGACACTTCCCAGAGATGATTGAACAGTTGCTTAATGTACATGTGTGTTTTTTACATAGTTTTATATTTATGTGACTCTTACATAAGAAGCAGCGGGAGGGCAATGCAGGCAGTGAAGCATAAAGAAAAAAAATGTTTTAAATTCTCCCTTACACACCATCCTCCTGTCACAACATCCTGAAAGTCTAAGCTCCACCAACTTTCTCCCCACTGTCTCTCTGGAGGGTGTAAGAGCAACAGTCCCACTGTCTTTGAAGTATCACCCACTCTCAAAGAATGACCTGCCTTCCACACACACACACACACACACACACACACACACACACACACACACACACACACACACACACACACACACACAAACACACACTCTATCAGACTTAAACAGGCAGCACAGCCCAAGAGCAAGAAGTGAGCCAAGTTATTATGGTAACCCCAGAGAAGCCTTCCTCCCCTCTCCCCTCCCCTCCTGACCCACCTCAGGGTGCTTTGAAATGAGAGAGGGAGGGAGTGTAGATAAACATGGAGGAAGGGGGGTGGGGGTGGATACGAACAGCATGCAGCGTCCCATACTGAAGAGGTCTCCCTCTTCCCCCACAGAGAAAGAAAACAGAAAGATAAGGAGGAAGAAGAGAGAGGGAACACAAGCGTCTTCTTCCTGTGTGCTGCTGAGACAGAGGGAAGAGAAATAAGATGATAGGAAATGAAAATAAAGAAGTGGAGACAAGATGGGAATAGAGAGGGAGAGAGAGGAAAAGAAGAGGGAACAGGAGAAAGAGGCGGCACAGTCAGAGAACAACAGAGCAGCAAATGGTGACTTCAGCCTTTCACCTAGAATCAAAACCTCTTCATGCCTGGGCCCCAAAACATCACCTGGATCCTGATGAAGCTCAGTTAATTGATCTGTATCTGGATTAACTTTCTTACTTTTTTCCAGCTGTTAAAGGCTAATGATTGCCTATTTTGATGACATGTTAACTCTCTGATTTACAGTACACCAACTACCAGCAAAACTGTCTGTTTTTTGGACAGAGTCTGGGTGGAGCGATTACTGATGAGGAGAATCTCTATTTCCTGTCACATAAATATCTCACTTTTCCTAAAGGAAAAAAAGTTACTCATAAGACTACAAGTTTAATAAGGATATTAAAGGCTCAAATAAGATTATTATTGATGGGGGGGAAAAATGGAAAGTAAATAAAAGATGAAACATAAAACAAGAAAGAGACTTGAACTGTTTCACACGTGCATCCCAGAAGAATTTTAGGATATTTCAGGAGCTCAGACCCACCGATAGATCTTAGCTATGTTCACATGTGCACCCTTACAGCATGAAGCCTTCCTTGTTGCACACTAGCGGAGCATGTGGTTGTGGTGGGTTGGGGGGTCATTGTCAGGGGCTATGTGATGTCATATATATACAGCATTA